GATGCTGCTGCCAAGTTAGTCCGGGCTTACAACACGGTTGTGATGGAAATCGCGTCAGACGAAGATTGAACAGCTGCAACAGGTTGCCGTGGAGGCCCTGGTATGTGCTTACTGAATACGCAGCACACATGGGCGGGGCCACAAATGAAGCGGCTTTACGACTTCAAACATCTGTGACATCACCATATCTTAATCATAGTCTTGACTAGTGTACTGGGAGGACCCTTCATAAATATGCTGTTTTTCGGTCGGGGCGCAGACCGATGACCCTCTATTTTTGTACTCGGGTTAGTTCAGCCCAGAAGCCCAACCGCCTTCCGCTTGGCCTTGTTCCGTGGCTACGTGGTCACGGGTGGTCCCGCAGGCTTCCAGCGGTTGTCTGAGGGGTCACGTGGTCAGCCCGCTGGACTGCGGTTTCATTCCAGCTCGTGTTCACCACCTAGCTTCGCGTGTAGTCAGCCAGAACTGTTAGGCGTGCCAGACGGTCGGCCGCAGTTCTGTGGGGCCCCCTGAACACCGGCGGTGACCTGCAGCGACCTGTGAGCTTTCGGAGGTCACTGCGGGCTCCACTGGCCTGAAGGCCGGAGACCACGTGAGAAAGGTCACTGGAACGGTGCCGGCATGGCACGGGAGCGTGCTGACCGGCCGCCTGCCACTGAGACTTTGGCCGATGGCGGGACGTGGGTTTGGGACGGGAGCGCACTGACCGGCCGCCTGCCATCGAGAACATGTGCCCAGACGGCACCACGGCCTGTGCGCTGTTCAGATGCGGTAAGAGGAGGGTGTGCACCCTTGCATGAAGTAGGATACCGACGCTCGAGGAACTGGAGCAAAACGGAGGGAAAAAGAACTCGAGATGGGACAAATTACGAGACGAGCAATACACGGTAAATCGGAGAATGATAATATAGGATGCAAGATGAATTCTTGCTCTTTGGTGCATTCCCAAGCTGATTATACAGATAAGCCAAACGAAAAGGCTTTTACCGGCTAGGAAGACAATTGCTGCTACTCAGCGGTTCGTAGTCACATTCTAGACATCTGCGATACCTGTTGGTCACAAATCGTGCGGACTGTGTACGCCGTTCCTTTGTTCTGCGAGCATGCGTCGAGTGCGGGGAAAATGGCCGCGATTAAGGCTTCCCTCTTGACTGAAATTGGCTCCAATCGACACTTTTTTGGCCAGGGCGCGACACCCTGCGTCGCCGGCGGCCACAGTGCGCCGGAAATCGCGTCACCTCCAGCACGTGCGCACGATTTACCAGAAAAACAGGCGCTGGAAAACGGTCCCCATTTCCGCGTGCTGCGGGTAGAATGGGTGCAGAACCCTGCTTTAATTGTTCCCCTCCAGCTGACCGTGTTTACCTGTGACCTTTTCTTTGTTCGCGACATCACGAGCGATTCCCGCGACTAGCACGAAAAGCTGCTGTTGAGGGGCGGGGCGGGGGGGGGGGGGAGGATTTGGGCTCAGAGGGAGGGTGACACCGTTCGGAACCGAAGACTAACCGTACACATACCTATCTAACGTAGGTGCATATGTTTCAAAGCTATGTTTTTAAAATCTGTCTTCAAGCCCTGATCTTTAAATATAAAGAGCTTTGAAACGGATAATTTTACGGAACTATGCCATATGGTTCTTGTGTTCCTTTGATGGCAATGAGTAACACTGCAATCAGAAATTTTCCTAGAAAGTTGTTTTTGTTTTATCCGTTCGGGATTAACATTCCTTGTCCAGTAGACGCGGTGGAAAACTGCTTTGATAGTTAATCGCACAAATGCTTGAAATACCCACCACTGATACTGTATCCAACTAATGGTAATGCGACAGTTTTTCCGTCCCCAGGGTTTCAAACAGTTCAATCAACTCTATTTTGAAAACAGAGCCAAAACACGGCCCGTGAGTATATGAGGATAATAACTGCTGCCGTCTCTCAAACATTTCCAGTGAGTGGGCGAATTCCCAGCACACAGATGGTCGTCATCATGTGTTAAGTTGGGCAGTGATGGTTATAGCTTTGACAGGGTTGTTAACGCGAAATTCAAGCGTAACCACGTCACGTAGCTCGAGCTTGCGCGATGCGTAATCAGGTTAAAGGGATGTACTTTTCTTTGTGTTTGCTATAATATGGTGTAAACCACCGGTTTATGGTAGCTCAGATAGATGGCTGGGTGTTATCAAGACCACAGTAAGTTCTGTGATGACGTCATTTGAGACGGCCACCGCCACCCGACCACCCGAGGCCACTGGCCACCTACCCACCCGAGCTGGAGCTCAAGCTGCCCAGATGGCCGTGTCGCTGGCCGCCCCCCGCTCTTGTGCGGCGGTAATGAAGCCGTGTGGGAGCCGGTCATGTGGGGGCTGCCACCCTCCACGTGGCGCAGACGGGCGTCAGGTGTTCCGCTCCGCTCCGGCCACCGTGAGTAACGCCGCCCAGCTCGGTCTCACCGCGGGATCGGTACAAAAACGGCGCGATGGGTGTGATGGTGGTCTTTGACGACGCCGTGGAAGTCGAACAGCGGGACTCCGACCGCCAACGCAGCAACTGTAGCTGACCTCGGACACGGGATACGGCTGGGCCGCTCAGAGTAGAGAACGTGGCTTCTGTGTCCGTACCGGCTCATACGTTTCGAACCAGGACCACGGGCGATGCTGCTGGCACTTCCGTTGGACGACTCGGACTGGAAAAAATCGCAGCCTTCACAGTCCTTGCACTCGTGCGGACCGACTGCAGGCCGTTTGTGGTATTCGACGAAGAAATTTATGGATCCCTATCTGGAGATTTGTATACAGAGACATAGAAATAAACGCAAAATTCGCTTGCCAGCTGTCTGACGCTGGAGCGGTCCGCGAGGGACCTCAGACTAGCTGTCTGGTGCTGGAGCGGTCCAATCCCTACCCCTGAAAAGCTGCCTAGGGCTGGCGCGGTCCAGGGACCTCTGGCGAGCTGTCTGGGGCTGGAGCGGTCCAGGGAACTCTGGCGTGCTGTCTAGGGCTGGAGCGGGTCCGGGGACCTCTGACGAGCTGTCTGGGGCTGGAGCGGTCCGGTCCGTACCCCTGGAAGGCTGTCTAGGGCTGGAGCGGTCTGGGGACCTCTGGCGAGCTATCTGGGGCTGGAGCGGTCCGGGGGAATCCTGCCGAGCTGTCTGGGGTTGGAGCAGTCCGGTCTGTACCCCTGGAAGGCTGTCTAGGGCTGGAGCGGTCCGGGGACCTCTGGCGAGCTGTCTGGGGCTGGAACGGTCCGGGGGAACCCTGGCGGGCTGTCTGGGGCTGGAGCGGTCCGGGGGAACCCTGGCGAGCTGTCTGGGGCTGGAGCGGTCCGGGGGAACCCTGGCGAGCTGTCTGGGGCTGGAGCGGTCCTGGGGGTAGGCCGCGGAGCGTCGACCCGCGTCGAGGGGGGCGTGACTGGCAGACACGGCTGCGTTCGTGTATCATTAATCCAGCGGCCGTTTCCTGCTGTCGTCGGGGGCCCGCGTCGACACCTCGTCTGCGCTGGCTCACACTGTGCCGCCCCGTCAGTCGAGCTCTCAGCGATCCGTGCCGCCGTCAGTCGAGCTCTCAGCGATCCCTGCGACTTCACTCAGCTACGATGATTTCACTTTATACAGATGGAATACCCTTGGAATCCCAGGGTCCTGCAGTGAAAGCACGACTGTGTTGGCGTATGCTCTGCTCAGCTGCTGAGGGATTCAGAGGATGGGAAGTCTGGAGCAAGCTTCAGTCGAACATTGTAACTTCCAAGCATGAAGTCCCTATGAAATATCGTTGGATGTGCGATGCTGACCGCATCATTCCCTCCTTTCATTCTTCCTTCCTTTTTTCTTAGATGATGCAGTCAATGTCGATGTGTACTCAAAATCCTCACAGTTGGCCGCTCCAAATCCTTCTCATGGGCCTAAGAACACGTCAAATGCATGCGATCCCACAGTTCATGCAAGCTTGTTATCCTCAAAAATGGCCAGGGTTAATAGCTTTGCTCCAAACATAATGAGCCGGGCGCAAACATCACTTATCATCCATAGCGCTCTTGCGGTAGTGATGCCTGTCGCCATATCAACAACGCGGAGAGCCGTGGTCGCCGGGCAAACAGCAGCCCTGGGTAGAGCATTCCTGTGTCATTCAGATGCGGTGATGGCTCCCAATTGTGCAGACCATACGCCGCGGCCGCCAGCTCTGCCGCCACCAGCCACAGCCGGTGGGGGCATCTGGGCCCGCCGTCGCCGGGCACCGTGCGTTCCCCTCCCCCCCCCCTCCCCCCTCCGAGCCACGAGGGTACAGGTGGAGGCGCGGAGACACCGAGAACTGATCACGCTGGCCGGCGGACCAGCCCGAGCACCCTGAGAGAGGACAGCAGACCAGCCCGAACACCTCTGTCCCAGAGAGGACAGCAGTATTTTAGAAAGGTGTGTAGTTAAAAAAAATAAGCTGCGCATCAGTCTATATCTGTGGGGGTGTTGCCCTGGAACCAACAACCTCCAGCTTCTGATCTAGAAGTATTTACTTATTTCTGCTAATTCCGTATCATTTGATCTACACGATCTGTTTGTGACAATCTGAGCGTCCTGGTCTTCTGCTATCGTAAGCAACAGGCTCGAACCCCGCGCTGAATGCAGTGCATGTTCACATGCATCATATAAAAGGCTCAATGTACATCACCCTCTTCTCTGCTTGGCTACGTGCTCGTATAAATGCGAAATCGTTCGGACGAACAAGCCGATAGAGCGGTACCTGAAACTGTTCCTAAATGGAGGCTGCGGGGTGACGCAGGATAATCCTAATTCGATATCATCCATCGTTTCCCGACCACGCCACGCACTCCCACGCGTGACCGGCCCGTTGCTCTAACAGCTCGGTCGCCCGTCGCCTCCGAAAATGACCATTTAATCCACCTGCCGTCTCACCACGGCCCGGTATTGGTCCGTGCCCCTGTGACGTCACGCGGCGCACCCGGTTACTTCAGCCCGGCGGCACGTCAGGCCGGGTGTTAGTCGGCCTCGTTGCCGGTCGGGAGTGTGAGTGGGCACGGCACGGCAGCACGGGAGCTGAAGCCACACCTCGCGCCATGGACCGCCGGTGTCCGTGCTGAGGGTTCGGACTCCGAGCGGCCGGGGCACCGCGGCGGCAGGTCGGCCCGCGATCGAGGTGAGCGAACGAGTGGCGTGCGTTGTTCGATTGTGCAAGCGTAGTGAGTGAGACACGAGCCCGCGCACTGAGAGATCAAGACAGCCATTCAAGCTCGCTTTGCCTCTGCAAGGAAACAACAGGTCGACGAAATATCCACTGGTGAAAGCAGATGCAGTGTCGATATCCGGTCATTGTTCGCCGCCTTGCATCAGCCGGCTGGCGAAACACGCCCAGGCGCCGATCCCGGCGATGAATGGGAAACGCGTGAGACTTGTCCAAGGAAACAAAGATATTGCTACGCTACGCCAGTAAGACGGACTGCATATCTAGGCCAGGGTTGGCGTGGGCACTACCTGACAACTGGCCATTCCAGTCACCATTGTTTTCAAGACAACACCGCGCACAATGACCTGTAACTGCTCGGCCTGTTCGCGTTGGGGTAATCTTACAGGTGGAAAACATCGTAAATGATAACGTTTGCATGACGCCGAGCCCGGTTTTTGGAGGTGGCCACCATGCGGCTTCATTGTCAGAGCTGTCGGCCGGCCGTACCATCGACGCAGCCCGAGCCCCGTGCATCTCACCTGTGCCGCCCTTGAGAGGCTGCCGTAACGCTCCGGCGCGTGTCCGGATCATTAAGGCCAGTTAGCATCAGAAGTGATGGGCACCGTGTCATGACCCATCTCCATGCCGCTGTGGAGTCGTTTTGAAACAGTGGGGAGGCGTTCAAGCCCGCAAATAAACACGCAATTGACACATTATTCAGCACTCATCTGGCAACAGGGAAATGGACCTTTGGACGGGCAGAGACACTGGTTTCTGTTAATACAGTGGTAATCGTATTGGGTTAAAAGCGGTGACACACCCAACTTAAGTACCCAGCCCATGACTTCTGATATCTTAAGGTGTGGTTTTGTCTCGTGATATCGAAAGCGAGCAGCACTGTTGTTACAGGACAATGCTGAAGCACGTGCAGATTAACCCGCTGCGGTCTTCGCTGATGCGGTCTGGCCAGAAGGCGGACACTCTGAGCATCAACTCCACCATGAGCTTCAGCTCACTGCACGAGCCTGCTCTGTCGTCTCGCTCCTCCTCCTACACATCGCTGAACGAGACACAGAGCAGCACGGGCAGCACCAGCGTACCGGCCACGCCCACGGTAAGACGGATGACTAAACCGGGACCAGACCCAGATCTGACCCAGAGCAGCACGGGCAGCACCAGCGTATCGGCCACGCCCACGGGAAGATGGAGAACTGGACCGAACCAGACCTAGACTAGATTTAGACCCATAGCAGATCCAGACCAGACCCAAATCCGGAACCAGACTAGATTAGATCTATAACAGATCCCGAACAGACTCAGACCAGACCTAGAGCAGACCCAGACCAGACTCAGACCAGACCCAGACCCAGACCCAGACCCAGACCCAGACCCAGACCAGACCAGACCCAGAGCGGCACGGGCAGCACCAGTGTATCGGCCACGCCTACGGTAAGACGGGACATCTAGGCCAAACCAAAAGCAGACTCAAACCACACCCAGACCAAACCCAGATCAAGCTCAGATTGAGCCTAGACTAAACCCAGACCAGACCTAAGCCAAACCCAGGTCACACTCAAACTATATCCAGACCAGGCACAGGCAAAACCCAGATCAGATCCTGAGCAGACCCAGACCAGACCAGTGACGAATCCAGTGAGTACTGGTTTGAAGGGAGGACGCCACCCTTTCTGTGTTTTTTACTTATTGTTAGATAAACGCGTCCGATATAATCCGCAATGCTAGCTTTCCCGAAAACCTTCTGAATAGCCCAGGATTTCCGTTGGAGGTAGCCGCTCCGGCGGGAGAAATCACGTTCGATTCCTTGTTCAATTATAAAAGCAAGACTTTTCATTTGCATTGATTTCTCCAACGTGTGCGTTGTGTAATGTTTGCAATACACTTATTCGTGAAAATGTTTGTGTAGAAAATGCTACGAAAACTACGAAAATAATCTGTTGAGGGAACGAAGTTTGCAAACGTAAGGCTGGTATCCCGCCAATTCACTGAAACGTTGCAGTATGGGTTTTATTTCTCCCCCTGTAACGTTAAGGGCAGTGGATCTTTTTGAAACACACTTTGGTTTTGAGAAGCAGATGTATGATATGGTCGATAGTGACGCGCTGGTTAAAACTTCCACCAATGCGCTTCTCGGCAAATGGCCTTCGCCGCCCGCTGTGCCAATCACAAACCTTTATTTGTACTGACGTCATTGATACCAGTAGAGGCGTCATTTTGAAGCCCGCAGGCTCGCAAGGTTGTGGTTAAAACAACTCAAAAGAGGTACAGCTAACGATTGCACTCAGCTTATTCTGCCGTCGTCATGGTGATGGTAGTCTCATCAACTGCGGTTATCGAAGGCTAGGGCTGCACTCTGGAACTACCAAAATACAATAAATGTACTGCTTTGACAGCGACGTTGACGGGGTGACTTGAGCTCGGGACTAATTAAAACTTATCTACTTGTTATACTTTCGATGGTGGTGCAGTGGCACTGCCCAGGTCTATTAATAGCCGTAACTGGTCACTAGTTTTCAAGAGTATGTTTTTTAAATCGGCCCCAAAGGTGGGACAATCGCTTTTAATGGCCACGCGCACGTTAAAGCTGAGGTCGGGGCCAGATCGTGTGCTGCAGAAGACGAGGAGACAAATAAAGTGAATATTAACGCTAGCTTCTCGAACACAGCCGTCTCCCTTTCTGCTGCCGACTGACCAGAATTATTACCCCCATCAGCTATGTTTAGACAAATTTATTTCACCTGCACTACAGCTCATATGTCAAACAGAGCCGGGCTAATGCGATGTCCAGGTGCTTCTGTTGCATGCTTGCTTACATAATTTAGAGGTGGCCAGGGTCATCCATAAGTTGACGTCGTCGGCAGGCCAGCTGTCTGGTAATGCCTGTGACCAAATTCCCTTAAATTAGTCTTTCTGCCATAGCCTGTTGCGTCTGACTCATTCTCTGTGAGCGTGTGCTGCCAACTGCGTGGTCATTATCTCATCAGCCAAAGTTCACATGGCGTTTCTGTAACAGTGGAAATGGTCTAATGTCTGTAATAAATTGCGCAGAAAAACCCATGCATTGGCGGATTCTTACTTCTAGGATACAGAGGTGACTTCGCCAGTGAACAAAAGAAGTGTTTCATCATTTCTGTTCTGCGCTGGGTTCGGTTCTGTTTCTGCCCATTATTTTGTGGCGCCCCGCGTCCACAGAGGAGTCAGTGACGCGATCACCAGGCCATTCAGCGGCCAGTGTGAACTGCTTCTAACGTGACCGGGGTCCAGAGCCGGGGATTGTAGTCCGGTCACTATTGATCACGCCGAACTTCACAAGAAAGCCTGCCCGCACTCCTTGACAACCGACGCCACTCAATGCGTTTCTGTGTCCGCGTCTGAGAAAGGTGCGCCGTCTTTGTCACCTGAGCCGCGACATTCAGACCTCTGCTAACAATGGTTCGGGAATAAACTGCCGTGCTGGCTGACGCTCAGCGTGGCGGTCCGGTGCCGCACCGGCCTGAGGTGGGGGGGGGGGGGGGGGGGGGCGTCGCCACTACACGTGGGTGGCGGTGGGCCAGGGGAACGGCGTCAGACGCAGAGCGGCGACCCGGCGCCTGCCCGGCTCGGATGGCGCCAGGGGGCGTACCTGGCGCACCTGGGGCGGCGACGCGCAGGCCGGCCGGCGCTGGGTGGTCGCAGGCGGTCTCCCGTTGTCAGCCGTTCGCGCGAGCCGCGCCGCTCGTCGTGGAAGTCGGCATAACCACTCGTGACGCTAAAGAGAGCAATGTCAACAGGCCGCAGGAGGGCGGGAGCGGCACCTCCCGCTGTAGCGGGTCTGGAGCGCCCACTCCGCGGCCCGGACCTACTGGGCACGCCCTCACCCCGCCGGTGTTGGGCCCGGCTGTGAAGAGGGCGCGGTCCGAGGCGTGACGTGCCGGTCGTCCGGCCGACTGATGGCCTGCCGTTGTTTGGTCCCTCACCTTACTGTAGTCGGTGTCTAGACTGGCGTCCGTCTCCGGGGCCGGGTGGGTAATGACGGCGGTGGGCAGGGGAGGGGCGGGGCGGCGATCGCTCTCCTGACCGGAGACCATGTGTTTTGCGCGCACAGGCGACTTTTACCGGGGCCAAAGCGGCAGGCTGGGGCAGGATTTTTACCACGGGGTTGCGGCGTGCGGTTTTGGGTTACCCCTCTCGTCGCGTGTGTACGTCATGAGCCGCGCTAGCCCGAGCCGGAAGGGGTACGAGGCCTGGGAGGGGAGGCCGCGTGGGGTAGATCCGGCGATTGAAAGGCGGCACCGTGGGAGCAGGGCACCGTGAGAAGCCGTGCTCGTAAACCAGGGATGGCGCACTGGAGTAATCTGAGCATTGCTCCATGATGTGTTTTGAGCGCCATTTAGGGTGGCTCCAGTAAACTGTTTGGGTAGGGGAAACATTGTCATTCACAGCACTCGTAACGCCTCAACAGTGCTTCATTTATCGGCTCCATGGTGGGAGTCATTCGAGCAGTCTGGACCGGAGTGCTCCTGTTTCAAAATCTTAGTGCGCATTCTGTGTTGACGCATGCCTCTGTTGACATGCGTGTTACTATCTTGTCCTAGTCTGGTCTTGTCTAGGAACGCGGGTCGATGTCAACAGATGGTACCACGTTCCGTGGTGTAAGCCATGGACCTGCTCGTTTTGGACGTTTTAAAGTATTTATGTTATCTGCCAATAACCAGAGCAGATAGATATGAAGCCAACTGCATGGCGTTAGTGAATGTGCCAGCTACAAATCACAAGCGAGTCTCGGCGCTGGACGAGCGGTGGCTGTGCCAGTAATCGTCTCGGCGCTGCCCGAGCGGTGGCTGTGCCAGTAATCGCCTCGGCGCTGCCCGAGCGGTGGCTGTGCCAGTAATCGTCTCGGCGCTGGACGAGCGGTGGCTGTGCCAGTAATCGTCTCGGCGCTGGACGAGCGGTGGCTGTGCCAGTAATCAACCTGGAGGTGCTATATTTCCCGAGCCGGATCGCGAGTTCAACGCTCTATGGCCTAAAACAGAAGGATATATGAAGCTATGAAAACTGCTCAGCAGTATCTTTTCGCTCACTGTAACTGAGATTCAACGGAAACACTTGCATGCTTTGCAAAAATTTACTTACCATTTCCCAAACCCATATCAATGTAGATTCATCAACCTTGTCGATTGAAGAATCAGATCTGGCCAAACTCAGACCGCGAACTGTCAAGCAGTGCCATTGGGAATCAGCGTACCAATGCGACATAAATGGTCCAGGCTTGTTGAATAAACTCCCATAAGGACTGACTTCTCAAAACATAGGCAAACGCATTGGGTGGGCTACCAAAGCCATTAGCTTTGATCTACACAGTTGCTAAATCATCTGCATCACGAATGGTTTTTGTCGCGTCCAATATCGGCTGGTATGTGTTACCTGCACAAGGCGGCTTAGTTGTTTAAAGCATAACATGTTGTTTCTGTTTTAAGACGACGGTAAAGGTGTACACGCGCTGCCTACGGCCTGATCTCGAGTACAAGACCATGTGTGTCAAGTACACGACCACGTGCCGGGACGTGGTGGACCAGCTGCTCAACAAGTACCGCATGAAGCACCGCGACCCTAACCTGTTCTTCCTCACCATGGAGGTGGCCACCAGGAGCACAGGTCAGTCGAGGTCGCCACAAGAGCGTCGGCTCGTCCGGCTCCTCAGCTGACCTGGCGCTGTCAGCTGGCGCCGGAAGTGAGGCCTTCCGGGGCATCGGGTCTGCTCTTGGGTTGGGCTGCGACATCTGTTATCTGGTCCGATGTTCGTGTGCCGGTGCTATCAGTTCTGGCGTTGCAGGGCCTGTCAATACAGCTGCCGGCTTTCCCACCCACCGCATGCGACACACGAAATCGGCCCGATGTGTCACTATGGGGCGCCAGACAAACGCTGACGCATTATAAGAGCGCCGCGTTTAGGAAGCTTTCATGTTCGACCCGATCTCACCGACACAAAGATGGCAGAAACCCTGTTATGGGGTGCAATGCATATCTAGGTGGCAGGTTTTTCAGATGTGTTTTACACGCATCTTCGATACTTACGTTCGATGTCCACTCAATGTTTCCTATCACTTCCTTGCTTGGTGTAACAAATTAAGCGAAAGACCATGCAAACAGAGCACATGCATCCTCACTTTTCAAAGTCTGAACCACCTCGCTGCCAGACGAAGCCCCCTTTTCCGAACGTCTCTTGCCCTTACAAGACTGCGCATCTGCGTCCTTGTCCTGTGGTCCGGACACAACCAGAGGCCCCACAGCGTCGCCACCGCTGCAGCCAGCCGGCCTCTCTGTGTGGGTCTTCACGACACCACGAAGCCGGTCACCGACGCCTGGGCCGGGTGTGTGCTGCGGTCAGTCCCGACACCCTCTGTCGCCACACGGAGCGGATCAGGCACCGGGGCCTACGCGGCTTCGAGCTGCGAGCCATGCGGCACACCGGCCGCAGGGGCTTCAGCACACGGGCCGGGCCTCGCATTTTGGCATGCGAGGGCCTCCTGCGGCGTTTAGAACGCGAGCAGACCGGGGGACTGTGGATCCCTCACGATCGCAGTGTAATCACTCTGGAAAGCGCCAGTATGGCGTACCTATGGCATAGCATCGTCACCGATGTCGTGTTTTCTTTTGCAATATGAGTTCGTGAACAACTTCTGAAACGATATTAAGAACAGAAATAACCTGGTAGTAATAGGATGCCTGGCGAATGTACCAACAGCAGTTTTTGGAGAGTAACATCTGACGAAGGCGTAGTCACGAAAGTGGAAAGCTGTCATCGACCTGGCCTGCCAATAGCCAGAGAACATCTCTACACAACTTGACTCTCAGGCTTAAGCGTTATTTTTCATCCCCGCGCAGACAGGTACTAATTAAGGCCAAGACAATGATTACACACATAAGTGACAAGAAATGGCTAGCTCAGACTGATGTGGGACCCCTGTCACGAACGACTGGAGACGGACGCAGCCACAGGAATGTCTGGGATAGAACTAAGCAGCTTGATTTATTTCCCTGGATGCGGTTCGATTTGACATCACTTCCTGTCATCACACGAGCGACGATGAGCAATCAAGATAAGGGAAGTCAGAGTAGATCGTAGCTTTAGGTTGACTTTGAAGTAAAGCTAGAAGTCATATCGTTTTTATATTTGAACAATGTTAGCATGCGATCTCAAAACTGCTTGTACTGCTGGACTGCTTCAAGTTGGCTTGCTCGCGAATGACCGAAATAAACAGGAGGCGATATTGAACTTCTTCAGGCACATTTGACGGTTCGGTACGACCCATATATCGCACAATTTGTGGTGCAATTTTGCGATACTCTCTGATGAGTGGTGTATTAAGAATAGATTAGAGAACAGGTAGATGACTTTTCTGTAATATCCCTGGTGGCAGCACTGTTTGTGTGCTCTTCAGGACCGGACGAGCGCTGCTTAAAGTGGTGCACCAAACACACCTTAAGTGCAATTCTGCTTGGACCCGAATAGGGTTAATACGCTCGCTCCTCTACCTCTACTGTTCTTCTTATTATTGCGATCCTGAATTGGTGGCTGGCCCTGCTGCCTCTCCCGCCGTGCTCACGCTTTGGCTCCGGAGGTGTGAGGTGGGAGAACCATCCGGTGGTGTGGTACCACCGCCAGTTAGCTACCTCACACATGGCCAAAGGTGCCCCCGAATCACTGCTGTCAGTGAAAGACAACGGCGCAGGTCATATGAGGTCGAAGAGGAGGTCAGAGCGGCAAAGAATGGCGAACAGTTTGTCAGTTCTTGGCTGTGCGGTACCGGACTACTTCGGCCGTAATCATGTAACCGAGGGTGTGACCTGCCTGCCTCCCCGGTAAAATGATTATAGCGCTTTGTACAGTTCATACCGCCAACTACCACGGACACCGGGAAATGGAGCATGCCCCAATCACGACAGCGGGGACTCAGCGGCTGCGTTATTGACAGGGGCTTCTGTGCGGACGATCCTGGTGCTGGATGACGACTCATGTCCAGCCCAGCTGCAGGCCTGCTACCCGCGTGCCGACTCCAGGTAAGCACCGAGTGGCTGCAACGCCTTAAGTAAAGCTTTTAAAGTCAACACCAAGCGGCGTGGTTGCTATGTCCCAACCGTTATCACAGCTGGGACACAATGGAGCGTGCGTGGCTCTTTCAAATATGTATGTCGTTATTGCCATGGATGCACCATGTCCGAGCTGGGGGGAGGCGACAAATCAGGACTGAAGGGGTAAATTGGCATCTAGAGGGTACCACCATCTTGTTGCTTTCTGATGACTTCGTGTCAATGCCCAAGCCAGGCACTGGTACTGCTTTTTCGTCTCCGACCGGTCCCACACATCCTGTTGTCATCCCGCATCCTGCGATGGCTGCGTGGCTGCAGCGCTGCTGCAGAGTGGGCCGCACCGTTGCCTCGTCCACCACTCCACATCACTAGTGGCCGCTGCGTCGTCCACCACTCCACATCACTCGTGGCCACTGCGCCGTCCACCACTCCACATCACTCGTGGCCGCTGCGTCGTCCACCACTCCACATCACTCGTGGCCGCTGCGTAGTGCACCACTCCACATCACTCGTGGCCGCTGCGTCGTGCACCACTCCACATCACTCGTGGCCCGCTGCGTCGTCCACCACTCCACATCACTCGTGGCCGCTGCGTCGTCCACCACTCCACATCACTCATGGCCGCTGCGTAGTGCACCCACTCCATATCACTCGTGGCCGCTGCGTCGTCCACCACCCCCACATCACTCGTGGACGCTGCGTCGTCCACCGCTCCACATCACTCGTGGCCGCTGCGTCGTCCACCACTCCACATCACTCGTGGCCGCTGCGTCGTCCACCACTCCACATCACTCGTGGCCGCTGCGCCGTCCACCACTCCACATCACTCGTGGCCGCTGCGTCGTCCATCACTCCACATCACTCGTGGCCCTGGGTGCAGAATGACCTCGGCAGTCGGGATGCCGTTAACACTAATCGCGAGCTCACTCGTGACATGTTGTACAGCAGCGGATCGCAGAAGTAATACAATGCCGTGCTGAACTCGCCTTTCTAACAGCTACAGCAAGGGGCCCAAGTCATCGACAAGCAACGGCGTATGTGCGGCTCGATCTGAGTGGACCTGAGCGCTCTGAGTGGAGCTCGATCTGAGTGGAGCGTTGAGCGCCGAGGGTCCGCCTTACGCTCTGTCCGGCCCCGGCACAATAGTGCAGCTCGATCTGAGTGGAAACTGAGCACCGAGGGTCCGCCTTACGCTCTGTCCGGCCCGACACAATAGTGTGGCTCGATCTGAGTGGAACTGAGCACCGAGGGCACGCCTTACGCTCTGTCCGGCCCGGCACAATAGTGCGGCTCGATCTGAGTGGAACTGAGCACCGAGGGTCCGCCTTACACTCTGTCCGGCCCGGCACAATAGTGCGGCTCGATCTGAGTGGAACTTAGCACCGAGGGCCCGCCTTACGCACTGTCCGGCCCGGCACAATAGTGCAGCTCGATCTGAGTGGAACTGAGCACCGAGGGTCCGCCTTACACTCTGTCCGGCCCGGCACAATAGTGCGGCTCGATCTGAGTGGAGCTGAGCACCGAGGACTGAGCCTTACGCTCTGTTCGGCCCGACACAATAGTGCGGCTCGATCTGAGTGGAACTGAGCACCGAGGGCCCGCCTTACGCTCTGTTCGGCCCGGCACAATAGTGCGGCTTGATCTGAGTGGAACTGAGCACCGAGGGTCCGCCTTACACTCTGTCCGGCCCGGCACAATAGTGCGGCTCGATCTGAGTGGAACTGAGCACCGAGGGCCCGCCTTACGCACTGTCCGGCCCGGCACAATAGTGCGGCTCGATCTGAGTGGAACTGAGCACCGAGGACTGAGCCTTACGCTCTGTTCGGCCCGACACAATAGTGCGGCTCGATCTGAGTGGAACTGAGCACCGAGGGCCCGCCTTACGCTCTGTTCGGCCCGGCACAATAGTGCAGCTCGATCTGAGTGGAGCGTTGAGCGCCGAGGGCCCGCCTTACGCTCTGTTCGGCCCGGCACGATAGCGACCTCGGTGGAGATGGCAAGGGATGGGGGGGTGGGGGTAGGGGTGAGGGCAAACGGGACTTTTAGTTTGCTCCTTTCCATGCACTGGCGTAAGTTCAATGCTGGATGTTGCCCAGAATTCACACAGCGGTGCTGGTGTTACAGATTCACGCTGCGCACGTGTGCCGGCGGCCTTGTAAAGGTGTTCGACAGCGTGCTCCTGGCTGAGGTGAGCTCGCACCGGCGCTGCAGCATTAGAAACGATCTTATGACCTGACCTGATGAGACCGACAGATGACCTGAAATGATGAGGGCGACCGGATGATCTGACCTGATGGGGAGGACCCTGATTATTTGAACTGATGGGACGACCTGGTGACCTGAACCTGATGGAGAAGACTTGATGATCTGAACTGATGGGACCATCTGATGACCTGGCCTGATTGGATGACCTGTTGGCTTGATTATGTTTAATGGTGCTGCAGTCGCACTACCCAGTGCCATTACTGGACGTACCTGTTCCTTAAATCTCACTAGAATATGTTTTTCAACATGCAACAAAGATGGGACAACCCTTCAAGATTCGTGAAGGGATCAAAGCATATGACACCTTCCTCCATACCCTCATCATGCAATGGCTGATGTTTGCCGTGTGCCACAGTCGAAGTACAAGAGCCTGCTGGTTTCGGAGAGGACAACAGTGGACCAGATGATTCAGCTGCTGCTTAACTGCTACAACTCCTCCGAGGGCGTCAACGTCTTCAGCATTTACGAGGTACACAGTGTGTATGTGTATAGTACACAAACGGTTCGTTGGTTAGTCTACAGCCGTCCTTATGAGAGCTAATAGATGCTGTTTCCGATGGCATCATTAGCATCATAACCACTGACGTTTCTATGTAACGACAGCGGTGGCGACATTTCGTCGGAGCGCTGCATATTTCCTTAGCGGATTGGCCGGTGAAAGCATCGCCTCTTTTGAAGGTATCATGCAAAGGTGAGGTGTGCTTGGTATCTTTCAGGTTTGTGCGCCTGTCGCCTTCGAGCGCAAGCTGCACCCAGACGAACCGTCCGCTGCTCATACAGCAAGAGTGGGCCTCCAGCAGCGACTACAGCTTCGTGCTGAGGAAGCGGCCCGCCGGGCACACACGCATTGGACGGGACTTCCCCCTCAGGCGATCGGTGAGTGACCTTGAGCTGACCTTCGGCACTTGAGCTATCTTATGGTTGCATTTAATGCAGGTTGTGCATATTCCCTGTGTTTTCTGCGGAACCTGCGGAGTGCGGCCGAAATCGATGACATCACCGGGCGGATGCGTTCACGGCGTCTGGCTTGCCCCAACACGGTCGGCATGATTGTCACGCGTCTGGGTGGCCGGCTCCTGTCTCAGCGAAACCCCCGCTGACTATTTATTTCTCCTTAGAGTACGCCAACCGCACATCTGTTGACGCGGGCGCTCTCAGTGCCAGAGCAGCTAACCTAAACGACACGGCGACTCCCGGGTCTGTCGGTCCGAATTACATCCGCTGACGTAGGACAATTGGTCTGGTTCGGTGTCCTGTGTCGGCTAGTACATCTGTGATCACGCTGGTTGGGTTTGTAATGCTGCTTCGCGTGGTGAGGGGACTGGGTGTCCGGCTCTATGCTGTGAGCAGGCTGGAGACACCGTTTCGGTCAGTGGCGTTTTGTTGCGGACATCGCAAAATTGTCAGACGGTCGTGTGCCTGCTTCTCAATGTTGTTCCCTGATTCCCACCCCGCCCTTTATGAAAACTTGACACTGAATCCACCGGTCATTTGGTAAGCATAAGTTTTCGGTTCCTGGATTCTTTTTTATGGAAAGAAGCGCAGACAGTTTCCTGGCTCTCACTCCACCTTCTGTTAGCACGAACACCTAGTTCCTGGTTTCCATAGGCTTTTACAAACAACAGACGCTGGTTCCTGGCTCCGGCTGTTGTTTCATAAACACAACTTGATTTTATACTGAATAATGGCTTTTGCTGGATTTTGGGCACAAAAAAGTGGGTGGCATCCGGGCATTAGCTATATTGTTATATTTTTCGGTAAAATTCGTTATTTTTCACTGTCCCCCAGCTCATTTTATGTAAAGAGCCCCCGGCTCCTGGCTACAGTCAGCGCCTCAATCGGGAGACACTTAATCAAAGTCACCTATTGCATCCTTAGAAAGGGTCGACTGCTAATGCTTGCGGCCGCCGGCGGACAGAGGTTTTCTACCAATCACGATATATACAAAGTATGCCAACATTCCTGGCGGATTAGGCCCTACCTGGATTTAATAATTAAAACTGAGTCTGCGCACGACACATTGCTTTGATCTGGAAAGAGCTATGGACCGCCTCAATGTTGTCATATTCACTTCAGTGCCTTTTAAATCTGGAATAGCAGCAGTGGCCCACTGTTTGCTGTATGATGCGCCGAGTCGCCGTGATCCCGTGGCTTGGCGGTAGGTTGCTGGGCTCGGATTCCAGAGATACTGCGTAAGAATCCTGGGGCAGTTGAACGTTTTGCCCAGCTGACGATGAAAGACATGGTGGCAACAGACCAAACCGGTTCAGCGTGGTCCGGACGGCTGCGTCGAGGTGCTTTACGACACACAAAACCTTGTACCCATGTCTGGGAAGACCTACATAGAACGCATACAATATTTTCGCTGAAATGGGTCGGTTTGCTTTGAGTGTTTGGCTCAGGGATAGTAGGGATGGTGTGCTCAAAGAATGTCAAGCTTTTTTCTACGCCGTTACCCAAAAGGTAACCAGGAGTGCCCCTCCCAATCTCAGTGACGCAGTAAACCGTACGTTAACACCAGAAAACATAAAATCAAGTCGCGGCACTCCCAGCTAGGAAGATGAAACAAACGTAAAAAAGCAGGCGAAGAGGTGGAGCAGACCCGAAGGAATTGTGTTATGTGATAGGTAGGGAATCATAGATGAGAAGGCTTAAAGAAGTCATCAGCCAAAGTCAGCTAATGACAGCCCGCTATAACAGCCCAATAATCTACAACCACTCAATTCACCGTGTTAGTAAGGGCTGTACGGTCGCACAAGTCGGAGGGGGCAATTACCTGGTCATTTTTGTGCTGGGTTTTGAGCTGGATGTCCAGGGAGTCCATCCCAGCTAAGCAAAGCTTGTTGATGGGAGAACTCCCGGAGCCAGCGCCGTGAATTTGGGTCTATGTGCATGACTTTATAATCATAAATTTATTATGAAACATGAAGGAGGTCAAAATGAAATGCGTTGGATATGTACAGCACAAAGGATTGCAATGTCTTCATATATGTTACAGTAATATGTATTCACGAAATGCTTCCGGATGATGTTCTTAACGATGGATTTTGATACGGGGATATCAGCTATTCTTGGAAAGTATGAAACCATAATGTCGTTCCACAGCTTAGGGCCAAGGCAAGATGCTGTAAATAGTCCTATAATTACGATTAGAGAAAGGTTGATCTAAATGTTTTGCTCGCCTCATATCCATGTCATTGGATTCGTAGAGATTGTAAATTAAATCGAATGATGCAGGGAGCTGTGAAGTTTAAATTTTGTGCATCACAGTTGCATTTGGGATTTAGCAATATCCGATAGTTCAAAATTTTGTATCGTTTAAAGATCGGCTCTGAGCCTTGTGGAGGATACACATTTTCTATAAGACGCACAGCCCTTTTTTGCAAAATTACTAACCGAACTAGTTGAGAAGCATAATTTATACCCCAAATCAAGCAGCAGTAATTTAAATAAGGTAGAATCAAAGTGTGATAGATAGATGTGACGTTGTTTTATCAATAAGTACATAACCCTACTTATTATTCCAATATTTCTACTTACTGTGCTTGCAGCACCATTAGTGTGGCTTGTAAATTTAAGAGATTTGTCAATTATTGCACCAAGGTATTTAATCTCTTTTTTGTCCTCAATAGGTGAATTATTAATATGCACATTTAGTTGGAAATGCGAAGAAAGTTATCTTTAGTTATCTAAGCTCTGTTACTAGTTGTGCTTATGACTCAGTTATTGTAGCTAGTTATTTGGGTGTTCTGAACACAAAACCCATCCTTGCAAAGCACTGCAGTTGATTTCTTAAACAAAGCTGGGAGGGTTGCACCAGCGGAGACCTCTGCCAAAGCTATGTAACAGCGGGGCCGCTGGGAGCGGAGGGACAAAATTATGTGTTGCGATTAAAAACGACAATTTCTTACGTGACCCTGTGTCTAAAATCTGGTCTCTGGACTGCTAGCATTGCCTACAGCTGAATGAGCAATGCTAGTACGGCATGATGCTGGCTCAGTGCTGCTGCTATCGGTTGGTGCGCCACGAAGTATGGTTCTATAAATTGCACGGTCCATTGCCCCATTTATTCCCGCACGAGACTTGCAACAGTAGCAATGCCTACTTGCTAACTTCACCTGCTTCTGTGCGGTTGATGCTGTTGAGCATCAGTTTCTCTGACGTCATGCTGTTTCCTATTTCCAGTTTCTAAGCTGGAGTTCGAGTGATCAGCCGTCGCCGACCGATTCGGACTCGGACAGGGAGGAGGGGCGGAGGTCGCGGAGTCCGTTCACCCCTCCACCCTCCGTGGCCACCAGCGGGGACGAGGATAGCCTCTCCTCGGTGTGAGGCGGTGAAGTTTCCGTTAAGCTTGGCTTAAACCAAAGGTAAGGGTAGTTCAAAGTTTCTGACTGAAGAGTGTGTACATATGGCGGTGCTTTGCGTGTGGCTGATAAATAAAGCAGCTAGGTAACCCATGATAATTGACAATGGCTAGCTTCCTACATTTCATATGTTGATGAAAATACTTTTGAGGAATTTCTGATGCCAGAATTTAACAAGTAAATCTTTGAACAGACTGCAGCAACGGTCAAGGAGGCAAGGCATCGGACATTTTGAGTGGTCACCAAGTAAGGGCGTCTTTGCAGGTCTCTTTGTAGGACTCAGTGAGGAATAACCCAAACGGTGTACAAACAGTATTAGACTCGCAATGATTCACTGCATCTTTCGGCCATTTGAAATCATTTGCTTATGTGAATTTTTAAATCATTAGCTGGCAACATAACATCACGTGACCTATCTTTTACCTTTGGAGCACTCACAACACATTTTTTGATGTAAAAAGAACGCACGGTAAGTTGTCTTTGGGAAGAAAAATATAAACCAACATGTACAGGCAGAGCAGGGAGATGAAACAGCATACCCTCTGAATTTCTCGGCCATTAATCCAAACCTCCAACAAAACGTTTTTTGTCCGTAACTTTAGTTTCGAGTTTGTCTGTGTTTTGATCTGTGTTATGCTTCGACAGGAAATGTGGCATGGGTTTGCGCAATGTTCGCTGGCGTCCCACAAAAGGTTTTTAAGAAATCCCTATGGGGGGCCCACCCAGCTCGAAATGGGGAGGGAGCACATAACATATTTTTTTCTCCAGACTTCAATTTATGAAGATGACCTTTGGGTAGTAATAAGTTTGATAGGTAGCAGCTGTTGTTCTTCAGGCTCACCTGATCACCGCCATCAACTTTGTTACCACCAGCTTTGTTACCACTAGCTAACAAAATGAACACATAATTATTTATGTCCCCCTTCTTTCACACCGCATAAACTACTTCTTATATCACCGGTTCGGGTTTTTTTTTTGGGGGGGGGGATTTTGGCTCCAAATTTTGGAATAGTTTAAGGACAGTTTACACCCAAACAGACCATTTTGTGTTGCTATTTACAGAAGTAGCGTGGATGGAGCTAGTTATGACTAAAATAAACGAGAACGGCATCATCGTGAAACATCTTTTGAAGCATTTTAACAATGTTGTATAAATGCTTCCCATGCACGCATCCATATCCGTAATTTTCCCAGTATATATTCCCAAACCAACCCGTTCATTATTCACATATGGGTGCCCGTGGGCTTACCAAACTACATCAGTTTACTTCCCTTCCATGAAGATCGGTTTGAATCCATTTAGGCATAAAAAGCGCGCGCTTGGCAGAGACCAACGACGGTAGTCGTTTGTTTGGAGCATATCGAATTGGTACGCAAGCGATCAAGATGCTTGAAACACTCTA